GGAAAGTTGCATGCAAATAAAAATATCTCAAACAATGGAGAAATAAATATTCTAACATTCTAAATATAACAGACTTTTAATTCTTGGATTTAATTTAAACAAAGTAATTTAAATGATTGGATCACTTTAGAAATAACTTGAAAATATTTCTACATAGAAGGTACAAGTAATACATTTAATTAAGATTTCAAAGAAATCAGAGAACTAGATGCTAGAACCTTTAACATGCATAAATAATGTTGTATTTTTCTCAACTTCATGTATCCTCTTTAATCATTATTCACAATCATCATTTAATAAATAACACTGCCCTTGTCCTTGTTGTCTTTGAATATTGTATTTTCATAGTGATAATAAATTTATCTCTAACAATGAATTCATACTAATCCTGTGCATAATTATTTCTCTTATTTATATTTGTCTCTATTATTTCTATTATTTTTATTCCTTTTCTTTTCTTTTAGTGAGTTAATATTTAACAAATTTTATTTAATGAAGTTTGGAGACATACCTGACTTGGTAGCAAAAAGGAAATGGCTAGAAGGGCACCCACCAAGAAATGTGATCAGGATATATAGTGTAAAATCTAAAGAAGAAATTGTTTAGTATTTCTTAGTATAAAGAATTGTTTAATGATAGTGAAAAATAGTTTTGAGAGTAAAACAAAATATACCTTTGTGGAAATTATTGTTATGATTTAAATATACATTGTTTGTATTTAAATGAATAAAATATTGAGATTTGTTATGAGATGTGGATTTGATCTCACAATACTTAATAAAACAATAAAGTTTGTATTTGACTGTAAATGAATATCATTAATATTAATAAGTATTAATTACAACAAACAAAAAACTTTTAAAAATCAAATGACTGACATCACATTAAGAAAAAATTGAATTAATCATGTTGCAAATTGTTAAAAATTGAATGATTAATGCCATTTAAAACTCTGAATGGTTTGGTTTGGTTTGGTTTGATGCCCAATCTGAAACTGAACTGAATATTCAGTTTCAGTTTGGTTTACAATCCAAATTTTAAAGGCCAAACCAAACCACCTGATTCAGTTTGGTTTTACAGCTTTTTGGTTTACATTTGACCCAAAAATTTCAGACATTCTAAATTTGTTAACTACAAAAAATATACATAATAATTTCAAAAAAATTACAATAACTTGTAGCTTAGATTAGCAAATGTGTTGTGAAGTAGAGGTGCTGGAAGGATCCTATTTCTAAATACATACATAATCTATAATTTTTATACTATGGTAATGATAGTTCATTTCTTACCAAAATTAGAATGGAGATCATGATTGAATTTTATACATAATACAACTGGTCAGTTATAAGTCAAGTCATTACATATTCATAGATTCACCACAAAAATTTGTATGTTTAGAGTTCCTATTCATAATACAAATTCTTATTCAAATTATTCATTTTTTTGCTTTGTTTATTCTATTTGAATTATTTGAATTATTCATTTTATTCATCTATTATCATGTATTTTTCTGCAAAAATCATCCATAAAAAAACCATCTGCAAAAATATCCACAAATTCATTGCCCATAATATTATCCAGAGAAAATTATACTTGAGTTTCACATTGAAATAAATAAATAAGAATTAGATGATGTTTTAACAAAGTTTTAATTTATGTTGTAAATTTAATTTATAATAAAATACTTACAATCTATGAAATAAAAATAAATTTATTTAATTAGATGATGTTGAAGATAAAGATTATTTTTGTTGTAAAAATTAATTTATAATATAATATTTACAATCTATAAATAAAAAATAAATTTATTTAATTAGATGATGTTGAAGATAAAGTTTATTTTGTGTTGTAAAAGTTAATTTATAATACTTACTCCCTGGTTATTATAAAAAATAAATTTATTTAATTAGATAATGTTTTAATAAATTTTATTTTGTGAAATATTTATTTACCTTTATAGGATTTAGCTAATTATTTATTATAATGTGAAAATCTTAAAGTAGTTATTTTCTGTGTAAAAAAAAAATACTTTCATTCATTTTTTTAGTGGACTGGAGTGTTAGATAGTAATATATTAATATTAAATTTTGGGATAATTAAATTTCGAATTGAAAATATTTTCTAATGGCATATAGTATAACCTAAAGAATTATTTCATAACCTAATACTCATTATCATGTCAGCAATTACAATCACACTCATTGATGAATATGATATCACTCCAAAGATGAGTATATCTGAACTTATTCAATATACACCGAATTTCTTAAAAACCTTACAGATGATAGAAAGAGAAACAAAGCACAAAGACGGCTTCGAGAAGGGTATAATTTCAATGAAGAACGAATATTTACATTAATCCCTATCCAAAAAGCTTACAATTCAAAACGCCATTTCACCTGAAATAATAAATATAAGAGAAACAATCGAAAGAAATAGCTCAACAAATTTTACGTGATAATCTTAGTGAAAAGAAGTAAAAGCTATAGCAAAAAATTTAGCTAATTCTGCAAAAAATGTCATTGCTGTATCATCATGACTTTCATGTCTTAGAAGGGAATTGAGTAATCTTTATGCTCCGAAAAAAATAGTTGAAGCTACAAAATTACCTGATGTAACAAAAAAAATTAATGAAAAACAGAGAGACCATAAAAATATATTGAGGCTTTTGAAAGGATTGATTATCCAGATGAATTCACATTAGAATCGGTTAAAGACTGGATGCATATGATATAAAAACTTCACCCAATTATTTAGCCCTTGCTGATGTTATGATAATGCTCTGTTTACGTCCAGCAGAAATTACAACTTTATGAAAATAGGGGTCAACAAGATATTCCAAGAAAATTTATATCTATGGGAAAAAATAAAGAAGAAGCAAAGGAATTACTTGCCTGGATACAAGATACTATTGCTTCTGGAAAAATAGGTAATCCATGAAAATCTGGTGTAAAATGCTTTAATATGTACTTAAAACCTTATGGTCTTTTACCTAAACATTTACGTAAATTGGGAGCAGTATATGGTGCTATAGTACATGGAGCTAAAAATCCAGCTCATCTTATGACAATTGCTGGACAGTGTCTACATCATACTCCTACGAACAATGTTTCTCCTGTACAAAATTACATTGTAGTCAACTATCGCAAAAGAGGACAACTCCCGGAACATGCAAGACCGTATAAAATTTATGATGAAAATTAATTAAGCTTTACTTATTTTTATATTGAAAATCTAACTCACTCTTCAAATGAATCAGAACTAATACTCTCAGATTCAGATGAACTAGAAATACATATATTATAATGTTTTTTAGTTTTTTGCTTTTAATATTAAATTTTCTTTTGCAGCAAATATGTGGATTTTCTATCGAGTTTAAATCAATATGAATCTTTTTATATCATAATTGATCAGTAATGTTGGAAACTATTCTATCAGTATCTGTTACTAAACCCAGCTCTTTTACTTTTCCATATGTAATAGTTGAACACTGTCCGCCTGAATCATAGATCTCTTTTGTATCCTTGATCATTCCTGATATTGTTAATTTTTTCATGTGACTTTTAGACGCTGGCTCTGCCATTAATTCTATTACTGGAGCAATATTATCTTGTGGATTTTAATGGATTCAGGGGTATTATTTTCGACCATTGGATTAAAAATTAATTTTTATGTATCTTTAGACACTAGCTCTGCTATCAGTATACAGTAAAAAAAATCAGAAATAAATATACTGTAATGATAAAAATAATGAAAAGATTAGCTATCTTATTCTAGACATGGATACTGATCGGTGCTAGCCAATTTTTTGGTGAAAACTTCATGTAATTGTTTAGGAGAGACATTTGGAAACAATGGAAGTCCCTCTCCGGTAATCCAAATTTTCTTTACCACCAAATTTTTGTAATATCACACTTGGGACATCTTCTAAGGGATCATGAAATTTCTCAAACTTTTGAAGATATGCTCTTGCGTTTTTATCAGCTGCTTCTGCTATTTATAGATTAGTATAACCGACAATACCAAGTTCTTCCTGAATTGCATTATATCCTTTTCTAAATATAAAAGCAAATTATATAATTTCGAAAGTGATAATCAATAGAAACTTTATTGCTTAGATTTACAACAGTGTTATACCACTCCACTGCTAGAATGGGATTGTTATCAATGTCAAGATTTTCCACCAAATGTAATAACAACTTATATGAATCATCAAGCGTTTTTCCTTCGGGTTTTGTTCTGTCTTATTTTGATGCACTGTTACATGATTTGCATTGCCGTTAATACCAAGTTTTCTTGAATTGCTATTATATCCTTCTTTTTATATAAAATAGTCATATAATTGATCATGTGTTTCGTTTTGATTATCATATTTGTTATAATAAAATAAATGCATTGTTAATATAATATCAAATTTATTTATCTTTATAACTACTAATTATTAAAGCATATATTTTTTTCCCTATAATAAATATCTAATATATATTATTTTAATAAAACACAAGAAATTAAAACAGTGATAGTATATAGTGGTGATGCAAAACATCGAGTCTTTGACTCTTCAGATATTAATTTTATTCCAGTATCAATGATATCAAGCCCAAACTATGAACAGAAATATAAAAGGCTCTCTAAACAATCAATGATACAGAGAAAAACAAAAAACTACTAATAATTATTTAGAATATTTAGAGGGTGTTATAGATGAAATAGATGCAAGAGAAATTCATAGTAGGTGTTCTAAAAAGAAAAAAAAAGTAAAAAAAGTTTAAATGCGAAAATTCACACTAAATGAATTTGATTCAGAAATCTAGTATTACTCGTTAAAAATGAATTGTTATTGATAACATGCTTGCTTCGATAATACCTACACGTTTTTTTCATGTGACCTAATTTTTCAGGTATACCCTATTGTATTTTTATTATTTTTAAATTCACATGCCAGTACATTCGCTTGATAAAATAATAAAAATATAATAAATAGCTAATTTTCATATAATGGTAGAATATAGTCACAATTTTAATTGGAATAAGGGCAGTGCCAAATGCACGAATCTTTGATTCACCCATGTGCCTAAAACAAATTTACACTATTCCTTATACATTTATATGCCTAATAATGTTCTTAGAAAATACATGTCCACAGAAATTTCATATGGACGATGTGCTAAATGTCATTATTGGTATAAAGGGTTGGCTCTCACTCATTTAAAACATCAACCATATTGTTTTAAGCATCCATGTATTAGAAAACATTTCGTTGTGGTATATATCAAAAACAAGTAAATTCTGCAAAATAATACAGCATGCAGTAATCAAATATCTTTACCGGCCAGGTAGTAAGTTTATGAAACATGCTCAAGATCGGTATTATCAAAATGCAAATAAATCCCAGAATGTATTTAAGAAATTGGTAAAAATAAATTAATTGTTTAATTGTATAGTAAAATGAAATGATCAAATTATGGTAAAGTTAATTTCATTTTCACGTACAACAGTATCAATAACAAGTAAATTCTGCAAAAATAATACAGCAATGCAGTAATCAAATATCTTCACCGGCCAGGTAGTAAGTTTATGAAACATGCTCAAGATCGGTATTATCAAAATGCAAATAAATCCCAGAATGTATTTAAGAAATTGGTAAAAATAAATTAATTGTTTAATTGTATAGTAAAATGAAATGATCAAATTATGGTAAAGTTAATATGGAATATAACATCATGATTTAGATAGAAATTCCTTAGTAAAAAAATAAGAAAGGGGAATATTACTAGGATAGCTCTTCAATATCCCAGTTGTCTATACTACCAGTAAATTTCCATTCGTAATCCCGGTCATTCGTGAATGGTCCACGATTCTTATCTTGTTCACTTGAAGCCTCGACAGAGAATGAAAGGTTAAAACTTGTTACATCATCAAACACTTCAACACTAAAACCGTGGTGAGCATATGAAGCCCCACTGTTCCTTTCAAATTCATTTACCATGACTGCAAGCTTGCCATATGTACCTCGCCACATTTTGTTATGGACCCAAACTGTATGAGTACCTGTATAGTAAACATAGAGTTGTTAGAACATACAATTAATTTTTTTCCAAAGTGTTATCTTTTAAAAAGTATTTACTTTCAATGAGTGGCACAAGTGTTAGGCCAATCGTTAGATTAAAGATGATGGCAATGA